GAATTTTTAATTAAAACAAAATACTTTAGGATTTTCTTAAGGTTTTTTTATATATCGTTAGAACTTTCTTAAACGTAGCAATTGCGATAATATGATGGAATATAAATTAATTAAAAAGAGGACTAACGTTTTTTGTCGACTGTTGTTAGTTATCTCGAAAATAATTTTAAGTTTAATTTATTCCATATCTTCTGTAACCATAGGCTAATTTCCTCCATATTGAATCCCTTATACTCCCCCTTTTGTCCAACATAAGGATTCATACTTAAAAATCGAATAGACTCTGAACTGGGGACTAGGACGCCCATTCATTTGACCTACCCTATACAGTTTTTCTTTTTTTACAAAGCCTAAGAAAAAATACACCTGAAACACTAGCGTGCCAAGTGAACTTTTCTCTCAAAGTGTACACTGCTAGCAAATGTAAATAAGGATTAAAATTTAAAACTAAATAATGCAATTAAAGTAAAATCTGTGGAAAATTAACAATAAAATACTTTTTCGCAAAATCTATAAAGGACACCTTTTTTCAGTAACAGTTATTCGTCGTCACGCTGTAAAACCAAAAAATTTTAATAATGGCTTTTGACTAAAACTTACATTTCTGTTTTCTCAATTTACTGACATTATAAAATAGTTTTGCATGCAAGACATAGGGCTGGTTTCTCCAACTCAACTTAACTTAGTTTAGCCACTTTTTGGACTTAAGTCAAAAGTTAGCCTACGTTTTACACGGCTTATTCATGACTAAGTCAAGAAAATTGGCTTAACTAAGTTAAGTTGAGATGGAGAAACCAGCCCATAGAGTTAGATACTCTTTTTAGCGAATTCTTAGTCTTTCAAATGTCTTTTTGTCTTTGACGTTTCTCCCATATTTACCAAAAATAATTTATAAATCCGGGTTGCAGACGGAGAAGTTATCTTTTTAATACAGGATTATATCGTAACTTGGTTTTCGGAGGAGAAATTTTGTATTCTTAATTACGTATTGGATAGTTCATCTCGCAAAAAGCAGATAATCTAGCTAAACAAACAAAAACCTAATATAACAATATTGTGAAATTTATCAAGGGCAGAAGTCTACCGGATATCCGAATCCGGCTCTTTTTTTTAGGATATCCGAAATCCGGTTATCCGGCAAAATCTCTATCCGGCAAATCCCTAGTTCGAAGTATTTTGGATTACACATAACAGAAAAAATTAGTGAAAA